TTCCTTCCTTCCTTCCTTCCTTCCTTCCTTCCTTCCTTCCTTCCTTCTTTCCTTTCTCTTTCTTTCTTTGTTTTTCTTCCTTCTTTCCTTCCTTCCTTCCTTTCTTCCTTTCTCTCCTCTTGCGATTTTAGTTTTAAAGCTTCTGACGTTGCCAGGAGTCATTCACCACTGACCCTGGATCGTCTTTGGGGGGCAGTAAAGGTTCTTAGAGACCAGCTCTTCCTTTTCTGACAATAAACAGCACTGCGCACAACACGACAATACAGTAATAATAAGAACAGTGATGATTTGGGGTAAAGGGAGAACAGTGACTCAAATCCCAGGCACAACAAGAGTCAGGGTCTCGGGTAAGTACAAACACCCAGATTTGAGAAAGTGTATTATGTGCAGGAAGTATATGATGGAGAGCAGATTGACTGTATAAAACTAGCATGAAACCAAAGGTCAGTGCAAATGTATCTTAATAGACTGTCTCAAATGGAGTGTGCCTCCATTGAAGGCCGCTTGCTTTTGCTCTCCTCATTACCATAGCGATCCTAACGTGCCATGTAGATGCACCATAAAACTCACACTTTCAACCCCAAAATCAGACTCTTTGAACAACCCGAGCTTGATTAGACCTTTCTCCTTTTCTTTCCCCCTTAAAAACCATTTCCTTGCCTTTAGAAACTCGCCATCAAATCCAAATGCATTCTCTGATCACGGCAGAATGCAGAGACAAAGGGGAACTGACGCGTCAATTCAGGCGGCCCTTTTCTTCCTGACATTATTATCCATTTTTATTATGATCTGGAACAAGTGCCCATTCGCGTGGTTTTTGTTTACCGGAAATTAAATGAAAATGATTTAGTTCGCGTCAAACAAAAATATATACTTGTATACACAAGAAAAAAGGCCTGTTAGACGTAAATATTATGTCCTTAATGAAAAGACTGGACGGGCTCCAGACTTCGCCTTTCAGTATTTAAGTATGACTTGCCTATTGCCATAGAAATCCTAACTTACCATGAAGATTCACCGTTGCGGAGAAATACTTCTTTGTGCAATCTGCCTTTGATGTCTAAGGCATAAGATTCAAGCTTTCAGCTGCGTCTGTCTAGATTACCTTGAGAGCAACGCGGTGGACATCTGTAACAAGCAAATGAAAAATTAAAGGTGATTAGCCTACATCGTCAAACATTTTTATTTTATTTTATTTTTCTTCGGGAGCAAGGAACGAAAAGAAAGCAATGAGCTCATCGAAATAAAAAAAAAAAAAGACTTTTTTTTTTCTTTTTTAAAGAGAGACATTCTTCCGGAATGAAAAATCTTTCTCAGATGACCTTTTCCTGTCCTTTCCTCTCCTCTCAATAGCTTCCTATTCCAAAATTTAAGTTGCGTGATGAGAAACATTACTTTGCAACCAACTTTGCCCATGGCTGATGCAGTTGATGGCTATCAGCGCTGTTGTGTTATGAGTGGTCCCCCCCCCCCCTTCCTTTCACTGACTAGATAATTCACCAAGGATATATTTGGATGTATCAGGTTTTCATTACGTGTAATGAAAACAATCCCACACCAGTTAGTAAGTTATTTATTTAGTTGAAGTTGTTGGGCTGAGTGTTAGGAAGTGAAAATTGTCTAATGGTATCTGAAAGAAGCTTCTATAGAGAAAACAAAACAAAACAAAACAAAACAACAAACTGAATCCCAAGAAAGAGTTCTGCCTCGGTGGAAAGGTTTCAGAACTGCCTAGTGTGCCCCTTGTGTGGAGATTTTTTTTCTTGTGCTTTTGGTTAATGTGCCTTCTCATCCCCTTCAATATCCCCCCTACCCAAGCCAACTCCCCCTGAATCACCTGGTTCTTTAAATTCTGTTGGGAATGAGGGAGAGCTGGGAAACAACCAATTGGTCTTGCATTTAGCAATGAACGGACAACAGTTTTAGGGAAATCCCCCTTCTCTTCCTAGAGTAGAAGATGCAGAAGAAGAAAATGATGACTAAATTGTCTTTGCAACTGTTGCAAGTGAGTTCCTTAACCCTGACCCCTCACCCCCACTCCCCATTGCCTAGAACTCAAGGGTCAGGAGAAAAAACAAGACATAGGAAGTGTGGTTCTCCATCGAGGAGTCCTTTCCCTGGTGTCGTGTACACCGCAATATATTATATGTATATAATACACATTTTACCACCATCGTGGGTTTCTTTTTGCCGTTACAAAATTTATTATTGGTGTTTCTTTCTTTTTCTTTCTTTCTTTTTTGTTTTCTTTAAAAAAAAAAAAACAAGACAAAGGTTGTGCGCTTTAGACAAAGACCATCACGTAATTTACACGATTCATCCAGAGAAACTGACACCTCACACAAGTAATTTCGCCTAAGTGGCCTGAGCACAATGACGTCACCACGAACAGCCTTCCCACAACCCCCGAGAAATCACAAGCACCCACAAGATTCAACAGGAATGAATGACAATGGCTTCGAGGGAGGCTGGAGGTGGAGGCAGGGGAAGATGGGATTCAGCATCTTAGACTTAGGAACGCAAAGGGAAAGGGCAAGCTAATCATTAGGCCACTCTTTACTCCCTCCTCTCCTAAATAATTTTATTCGTGGCCTATTATATATCTGTATGTATACATGCATATGCACACATGTAATGCATACACACGTACACACCCATGCATATATTTTGTACACTCATTTAATGTGGTTGTATACATATATCAACCATATATCCTGGGGGGGAGGCTTCATTAAAAAAAAAAAAAAGATCACCTTCAATTCTTGAAGGATTTGGGATTTTACAGGAAGGGCAAGATTTTGTTTGGAACGTGAAGCGGGGAAAGAAACCAGGCAGAAATGGTGAGAGCGAACTGGTTGCCACTCGCAGGCTATCCATTTACCCAGAAATCCCAGGATACTAAAAAATCTAAACACTTTGGTTCATTGTTACAATCATGGGAGAAGAAATCAGAAATCGAAGAGAGACAGTTTGGCACCGGGAAGGCCAACCCAACCAGTGGGAGAGGAAGCTGAGATGGGGGATGGGGGTGAAAGGAAAGGGGAGGGCAGGGCAAGGCAATAGAGGGGCGGGCTTGGGGGAGGGGGAAAGAGAGCAGGCCAACCCCTTAGGAATCGCCTGCAGGCCCGCTGACCTCCCTCCCCCTAGGAAAACATACAGTTCCCAGCCTGATGATGGAGCCTCGGCCATTTATTTTACCAGGCTTCCGGCTTCTTCCAAGTACCAGGGTTTCCCCATCAATCCTTTCATTATTATTATCATTATTCTTCTTTCTTTCCTTCCTTTCTCTTTCTCGGTCGGTCCCTTTAGGAATAGCTCCCAGAATCTAGGGTCCCCTTTTAATGAGTTTTTCCCTCATAGGCTGCAGCAGCCTGGGGATACAGGGGTGTGTTTGTATGTTTGTGAACAGTGTGTAAAGGGGGAAGGCGCGTGTGATCAGATGAAAATATACTTAGAGATAGATCTGCGAAGATCTTTCTGTATTTTAAGATCGGTGAGGATGACATAACTGCATTGGGGACCTACAGCCCTGGAGCTGATTACTGGTGGGTTTTTCTTTCTTTCTTTCTTTCTTTCTTTCTTTCTTTCTTTCTTTCTTT